GTTACTTATTCAATGCTTCACATGGATAATATATGAGTAATGTGATGGTTAAATAAATGAAATTGTATCATGAACTTTTTAGCATTTTTCTTCTTCTTTTAAAAGACAACATTGATGAACATGCAACTTTAGACAACAAGCAATTGATATCAGCATAAAAGCAACAATGACAATATGGCTCAAGCTATTTAAATACCAATGCAAAACAAAGGCGAGAAAGCTTACGTTAGTGATTATATGAAGTTTGATAGTAAAAAGAGTTACTCAATATAGTATTTGATTGATCAAATGTAATTCTGTCGGTTTTTTTTAAATCACGATTATGCAGTAACTCGATGAGACCGAATACGCTTTTTTATCAATCGATAAAGACTTATAACGTTCCAGATAATGAATCGTAAGCCAATCGTAAGACCACCATAGAGACCAAGTATTGATGTAGCGACGTACAACATATTATTGCGTGTAACATATTTAAAAGTACAATGAGTTGGTGCACATGCAGCAAAATAACCTTCGTATGAAGCCTTAACTATCCACTCTTCGAGGAAGAATTCGTCCAAGAGCGTACCGATTGAAGTATTCTGTGGAAAACGCGAAGGTGTTGAACTGTTTAATGGAGATATATTCAAGGGCAATTCTGTAGGTGGAACGAAATCAATAGGTGGTGATCCATCCATTTGTGTATAATATTCAAGATGGGTGAGGATGGCAGAGATACAAGTCGATGAGAAGAAACATTCAAGTGTAGACATGCGGAGTCCATCATAAGGTAAACATCCAACAACAAGGCCGGGTAAAAAGAGATCAGGTGGGCCAATTCGTAGTGGTTCCTGACATGTGGCCGAAATCATACAATTGCACCCAGTGTTAGTAAATACCCGAGGTACACTTCGTATGAGATAACCATCCGACTCGTCACCGTACTCCAACAACCAATTAGTATTGAATGCTGTCGGCAAAAAATTGAAGTGAAACATTCCAAGAAGGAAATCTTGTACTCGTCGAAATTGATATGGCGAGTTCTGAATCATAATGCCGATGAAATCGGACATAATGAATGATCGCTGAGATACTACAATTGGGGTCCAGTAGCTCAGGTGAAGTATGCCATCTATTTGAGAATCCATGTTCTTTACTACTTCTTCACACATCCATCCCAAAATTTGAAAATGTTTGCTGAGAAGAGGTCGATCAAGCTGCAGAGAGTTGTTTGCAGAGGCTCCATATCCATATAATAGTATTGTCCATGTTGTATTGATAAATGCACTCGAACAGATCTGAACAATGTATAACATGGAAAGATCTTAGAAATTAGTAAACTACGTATGATATTACATTCAACATCACTTATGGATCTGAAAAACTAAGCTTAATATGTTGTTGTTTTGTCAAAGTTCTTTCTATCTTCGATGCGTAGTATTATGTGTCGGTATCAGTCAACAATCAAGAGCTCTCTGTGTTTGAAAATCATACAAACTATAAATGTATTCTTCGGAGTCTTCGTATATAAATAAGCAGACTAGTCCGATTGCGGAACGTTGTGGGTGCGAACTTCTCGCCATGAAAACTGTTTGTTTTCTTTCCTAGCGGAGCCGAAAAGTTTTTTTTGGTTCGGTGGGAAAAGTTTTCCACCCTTACCCAAAAAAATATCGCGACATTTTCTCTCCTTCTCACTCATGTTGGGTGTCTCTGGACAATCCTGTAAATAACGTTTCATTTTCCAAGAAAAGCCTCTTTCTCGAATGACGAACTATCCTCTGTTGATGCATAGAAAAATGATGCCTATATGAATATGAATATCATTGATCCAAATACAGTAAAGTGCAAAAGTTTTTGCCCTCAGTATTTTAACTATTTATTAGCAAAGAAATGATGGATAAAAAAACTAAATATAGACAAAGATAAGGTATAGTTCAAGGTACAAAAGTATTATATTTAGTAATTAATTCTCTCTCCTTTCGATTTGATTAATGCTAAACATCTTGATTTCATCGAATTTATCAAATGATTTAGGACGACCACATCAATGTTAACCCATTCTTCATGTAAAAACTTGTTTAATTCTTCGAGATTTGTTGGTTTTCGTTTCTCCACACAACGTTTGATAATTGACCATAAATTCTCCACTGGATTTGCATCGGGGCTATTTGAAGGCCAGTCGATTACTTCTGGTACTTCACTAGACAAGAATTGCTGAGCCACTCGACTTTTACGTTTAGGATCATAGTCCTGCTGCAGTCGCCATCGTCGACCAAATTGCTTTCTTGCATTAGGAATGAGATGATCTTGAAGAATTTGAACGTAGTAGGAGCCATCCATAATTGTTTTAAAGGAATGATAACCAATGAGGCCCTTGATGCTGATGGCTCCCCATACCATAATCTTCTGTTTGTTTTTTGGAATTCGTTTGACTTCAGCACTTGGATTTCGTGACCATCTACGAATGGTATTACGAAACAACTGGTAGCAAGTTTCATCAGTAAATATAGTCCGACTCCACCCATCATCTTTGTGTTGGATTGCCCATTGAACACGTGTATCCTTGTGTTCCTGTGTCAGCATTGGAGTACCGTAGGGCAAAGTACTCTTGTAACCCATTCGTTTGAGTTGACGTTGAACCGTCCATTGGGATACGTTCAAACTTCGGTTATGGAGCAGTTTTTGTGCCAGTTCTTTTGATGTTGCTTCGTTGTTTCGCCTAATCCATTGGCCAAGTGCTTTACTGTCGCTCGCAATAATCTTGCGAGGTCGACCTTTACGTGGTAGGTCTTCAATTGTACCTTGTTGTTAAATCTTCGTGATATTATATTTGA